AATGTGTTATATTTTTATATATATATATATATATATATATTTTTTTTATAAATTATTTTTACAAATTTCTTTAATGATTTGCTAGAGAGTGCACCATAATTGTGTCCCTGCAGTGTTCATTTGCAATGCAAATGGTAGCCCATAGTAACCATAATAAATGTAATAGCCTCAGCTGACACAGCAGTTTCTTTACACTGCATCTGAGGATTTGTACTAAATATGTTCTCCTTCTATTGTGCTATAGGGAGCTTTGAATAAAAGTGTTTGTTATATGACTACAGTGCTTACTATTATGTTTTATTATTCACCTTGTAGTTTAAAGGTCAAACTAACATTTTATGAATGCCAAAATGCACATAGAAGTAGTTATTTCTTTTTAAAAATAGATTAAAAGTTTAAAAGATTAAAATGTTACACAGTAGCCTCTGCAAATTAGTGCTCGCTCAAAACATTAAAACAGTACTGAGCAGTTGCGCCACCTACTGGTTCTCCAGCAGATTTGAACAATCCGTTAACAGCAGATTCACTGGCTGAAAATACGGTATGAATTTATGGATTCATGTTTTCGTGTGTGCGTGTGGATTGACATCATGCACAAATGTTTTTAGTGACGTTAAATGTGAAGGTGATATTTTTGGGCTGTTTAGCATAAATCTCCTTTTTTAAATGTACAAAAATGTGCTTTATCTTTATTTTGGCTCTTTGTATTAAGATGTTTTCTTCTCGCCTTTTTGGATTTGAATCATTAAAAAAAGAATCTGGTGGTCTACAAATTTTGATAGTTTGACAAATAAATTAATTAAAAGTAAGCAGCTTTTTAATGCAGCATAAAAATTGCACTAAGGCATGCCAGCTTTGACCAAATTAATATGTATAAAATACCACATCAGAGCTGCACTGAAACGCAGTGAACTTCAACTATAAAGTTTGGTATATATTATATATATATATATTAAGTTGAAATTCACCTGTTAAAGCATGAAATAAGATCCCATTAATCAGTGAATTTGAGTTTAATGTGGGTGTATTGTTAGTAAAGTAATCATTAAACGTGTAATCATTAAAAAAAATATCAGCCATTTATATTAATGTGAAGACCGGGTATTTAGAGTGCACTTTTTAATTTGGGAATTTTCAGTGTGAACGCACTACTCGCACTATTTATAATACAAAACGTCATAGAATAGTGCATAAGTACCAAGCGGCAACCTCCCGCTCTCTCTCGTGAAGCCAACAAGGAAGTGACTTAAACTGTAATTCATCGTCAATTTTGATTTCATACCGACTTTAACAAAAATTTGTGAAAGATTTTTCCAGATGCAGATGTTTGGATAAAAGCATGAGAATCTGACATTTCGACACCAAATTTGAACTGTTGTACTCTAGACTTGCCTTGTTTGTATTTGAATGTATGTATCTTTCATACAAGATTTTTGTTGCAGTTTATACCTTGTTGGTGTTTTTGCATGTGTACACTAATTTGTATTGTGTTTGAGCTTTTATTAAACCCATTTCAACTTTTTTCTACGTAGTTATGTTTTTTATATAGATTTTAGTGATATAGTCACAAACAACTTCATCACAAATGTCTTGCATACAGCTGAAAGCTGAGCAATCATTGCAGGAAGAGTTAGCCTACTTCTAATCTTCCCACCTTCCCTGCTTAGCAGCTGTTGTAGACTATTATCACTGCAAATACTGCCTGCTAATTCCATCCAGAAGGATGCTACATTTTCTAATAATCAAAAGAGATAGATGGCAGATATTGTATTTATTGATTTTATTAAAGAATTAGCTGCAAAACCAAATGTGAAATCAACACTGTAAACGGGACCCAGCAGTTGTATAGGTGCGCATTATCCATTCGACCACCAGATGGCAGTAACGTAAAGTGTTCATTTCCTGATGACACACGTGACCTTACGCGTGCGTCGTAGCGTTTTAGCTACTTTCGCATCGATTGCTGAGTTTCTGTGTAGTGTGTCGGATGCTGGTCAGATGTTTCTGAGGTAAAATTGAGTTAAGTCACTATATCAACCCTAATTAAACAAGTTCACTAGCTGTTCCAGTGCCAGCTACTGATCTCATTAAATGTAACATGTTTTAAACTTAGTTAATTAGCAGTGCCTTAGGTTGATACTAATAGATGCTTTTAACAAGCCTATTATAGATGAATAGATGTTCACATTATATATATATATATATATATGAATCTGTTTCATCTGTCTTTTTGTTATTATATCCATTTATTATTCGTAATTTATATTTGTTTATCCTAAGTCTTGTACATTATTCCATTGCTTCACATAGATTTTACCACAAGGTGGCGCGAACATACTGCTAAAAAGACCTCGATGTTGTTAATGTTTTGCCAAATGTAGCATATTAATAAGACAAATTAAGTGCTGAAAGTTCCATATATTCCATTATGAAATTATAAAAAAGTTCATTGATATCAGTAGTATTGAATTCAGGTAAAAAAGTATTTAGATTAAAGCAGAGAATAACACACATACAACAAAAGTGTTTATTTTAATGGTAAAATCTGCACATTTCGGCTACTTATAGCAAAATATATTTTTTTATTACAAAATGAAATTCTACCTGATAGATATTTCTAAAACACTAATTTTTTCGTAATTTTTCGTCTAACATAGTGATCTAAAATACAGAAAAGAACATTTCTAAAAAGCATATTATGAGCCTCAGTAAGATTTAATTTTTTACGGTGTTTGTACATAAAGCTAAAAAAAGAGAGAAAGATATAAAAGCTTTTGTTGTACATGCAACTCTGTCTCTTTTCACTTTTAAACCAATAAGTGATTAATTGCAGATCCTCTGATGTGCAGCTAAATCACTGATGACACCAGCTTATAACCGAATTCATTTGACCAGATGTAGGTGTTGGAAAAATGAATGTTTCAGCTGTGTTTGCAGCAGGTGTGTTTGGGCCAGGTGTTTTCTTGGCGGACAGGTAAGTAGGGATGGGTGAAAGTATGGTTGGAGCTGGAGACGATGGTGTAACGGAGCTTCCGTTGTCATGCTGAGGTGTTATATGGGACATGCATGCGCATAAACACCCGGCATCAGTCAACAGCCTGATAATGTCGTTTCTGAATCTGACGCCAACAAGTGCGTAGAGCAAAGGGTTCAGGCAGCACCTCACGTATGCCAGATTGCGTGTTATGTTTTCCTGAAGGTGGAACTTGGTCCAGTCTTCGCAGTGTTTCGGAGTGGGTGTGAATATTTTAATCAGAAGCACCACAGTGTAAGGAAGCTGGAACAGGAGGAAAAGAACCACCAGAAGTGCCATCAGACGCAAAGTCCTCTGTCTACGCCAACATTTGCCACCGGCACGGATCAAGACGCGTCCAATCGCGCCGTAACACGCCACCATCGCCACGCAAGGGATGCAGAATCCTGCGATCTTTGCCATCTGGGCCCACAGCTTCCATTTACTCACTTCATCGCCCCAAACTTTCATATCGCACAAGAAGACGTCTGAACCCATGTCGTTCTCCACGGAGCTGAAGCGCAGGTCTGGCAGGCTCAGGAAAATAGAAGTTACTACAACTCCAAGCGCAGACATTGTGCTGTAAAACAGCGTCCCAGAACTCTTCTTCCGCACAGTCCTGGTGCGAACCACCACCAGGTAGCGATCAACGCTAATGCACGCCAACAGCAGCAGGCCTCCATAGGTGTTGATGGCATACATACCGCGGTTTAGCTTACACAGCCCCTCTCCGAAATCCCAGCTGCCGATAAGCGTCTCTCCCGTCTGTAAGGGAAGAGTCAGCAGAAGCAGCATGTCGGACAGAGACAGGTAGAACAGGAAGACGTCGGTCATGCAGCGTAGACGTAGACGACGGTACCGTGCGAAGGTGGCAATGACCAGCCCGTTACCAATTACACCTA